CCCCCCCCCCCCCCCCCCCAATAAAAACAAAAAACCCCAAAATAAACCTGTACTTCACCAGAAAAAGTACCGCATGACTAACCTGGCTCTGCAGCATGTATAAAGATTGGATACTTTAGCAGGACTTTTTGGCGCTTTTATCTAATAGCTGATTTGATCAGTTAATAGATAAAAGTGCCCAAAAAAAGACCCACTAAAGCCCTGATCTTTATAGATCTTGCAGAGCTGTGTAGAAATAATGCACTGCCTCTTCTGGCCATGTAAAGGGCTTGGCACAGGAACGAACCAAGTTAAAAGTAGTGCCTTTTTTTGGTTTTAAGCCTGCAAGCACCCACTGGCAAAAAGAAAAGTTGGCACCTACGGCTGGAGCCAGCAAAGGTGCTGACCCCAGCCTCCCCTACCCCACCCGGGGCAACATATTGTACACCAGAGCATATGTGGCAGGGGTGTTCCCCAGGGACAAGCAGCAGCTGCATACGCTGTGTCACTGCTGTGTGTCCCTGGGGAAACATGTTCCCACTTGTGGATGATGAACAGGCACCCAATGGGATCCAGGCCTGCCTCAACAATAGGGCATACCCAGGATACCCAAAAACTTGCCTATGACTATCCTAACCATTTAGTTCATCCAATGAACAATATCACCACAAGAATGTTCGCCTCTGAACATTAAAAAAAAAAAAAGATTTCACTCACCTTAGTCCTATTGCTAGAATTAGTTAGAAAAGATGTAATACTAAACAAATGTTTAAAAAAAATAATCAAAAAGCACAATAAAAATTATAATACTTGCTGGCACCATCCTATACTTGGAAGACTGAAAGTGAGCCTGTTTGTTTGTCTTCAAGGCTGTCTATTGGCTCCAAGTCTATCACAGGTACAATATACAATTCAGGAAGGATGTGGGGGAGATGAGAGATTCTGGATTTGTTATGGGAAATATAATGGAAGTGTAGCTAACTCACATGGTTCCTACAGCATAGTCTCAATACAAATAAAACAATAGTGGAGCAAATGTTTTTATTTCTGAGTAACGGTTCAAGTTATGATTAGATGCCAACACAGAGTCATTTTCACAAAAGCGCTACTTATCTTCACCATCATAAATCACCTCAGCTTGATGATCCAATATTAAAATAGGGTATCAAACTAAATTAATTCTTGAAAAGACCACAAAAGCACTTTTATGACTCAAATTATGTTTTCCTTTTACGGCTAAATGGATGCTAATTAGACATTTACAAAATAAATACATTTTCCTTCATATAACCCTGTAAATAAAAAAACCCATGGTTTAGGCTCTTAAAAAGAAAACGACAACTGTACCTTACAACCTTCACAAGCATGTACTCCGTAATGGTAGCCTGAGGCTTTATCCCCACAAATTCTACATTCAATGTTTAATGCTCCACTGGGTGATTCATCTATGCTACTTGGAACTGTTGCAAAATTAATGGATGAAGGACTTGATGCTGGTGAAAAGGTGTCTAAAAGAAAAAGGAACACTTCAGAAGTACCACACCACCAAAAAATTAATATCAATGCCACAATCAATACCAATGCCACATAGGAAAATGAGTTTTCTTGGAAAAAAATCCAAAATTACAGAATGCACTATTAAATTTTGCAATAATAAATGCATTTGAAAAATAATTCCTGCTTCTATTAATAGTGTAAACAAATACAAAGCTTCAAAGTTATGTGCTGTTTAAATCAACTATGACCTTTGTACAGGCAACTGTTAGCTATAAATTTTGCAGATATTTTGCTAATTAAAGACACAAGAACCAGCACTTTTCTTAAATGGACTGTTCTAAATTAATAAACCAAGCCCAAGGACCAGCTCCTGAAGGTCATATAACAATGCTCACATAGTCAATTGCCCACCCTTTCTCTGAAGTTGCAAACTGCTTATCCTGACATTGCATCCATTGGTGATTGTGCTCTCATATAGCTCAAATCAGTTCAGAGTCAAATCTACAGCTGTGGAAGGACAGATACATTTTCCTGGTTCAAACAAAAAACAATAATTAAGCGTATGCTGAAGTACACTGCTGTAAGTGAAGTTTAAGTCTGCTGACTATTCATGCGATTACATACTTTGCTGAATTGGGGTTCAAGATAAATGCAAGCTTTTAGTATCACTCCGAAGAGATACATTTACTAGGAGCAAAAGCAACCGTGTTGCTGCTAACAACTGTTAGAAATGGAGAATGGAAAAAAAATTTGGGTTGACATTCTAGATGATCTGGAAATATAAATCTTCACTGAATGCCCTGCCTCTACAAATGCAACAACAACAACCACTGCATAATCACTTAGAATTAAATAAATATTGTATTTAGTCATATATAAGACGACTCTGGAAATAAGATGACTCCCCAGTAATTAGATTTTATATATGGAAAGTGTATACATTTGATATAATTTTCCATGTATAGAATATAATTATTGGAGGTTTGCCTTGAATTTGTTCCCTTCCTACTCCTACAGCAGGGAAAGTAAATCTGGGGAGTCTTGCCCTTTGTTTCTTCCCCAACTTCTTCCCCCTGCAGTCCCTTTTCTCCCTCCTTACTGCCAGACCCTGCTGGCTCTGAGCATGTGGAAGTGAGGGGCAAATTTGAAGACATACCTGTAATAATTTGCGTACAGTACCCATAGACTTCGTTCATCCAGAATTGATGCATTTTACCTTTTCTGAAAATTGCTGCAAGTTTTAGCATAGGTACTCTATACACACACTTTTAGGGCACAGACAGAAATGACATTTGTCACACAATCAGCCCCTTGAAATCTGCTTCCCCGCACAGAGTGGGGCTGGCTAGGAACTGTCCAACTTCTGGGGCAAGTCCCAGCCAGCTCTGGGCTCAATGGACAGTGCTCTGTACAGCCTGGGGCAGGTCCCAGCCAGCCCCAGGCTGGGCAGGGAAGCTCCGCTGGGCACAGCGCTTGTCCCTTCGTGCATGGGGCAGGTTAGCTCTGCAGCAGCAGCTGTCTCCAACCCCGGGTGCCTTGAGACCCCTCCCAATGTGTTGGTAGTAGGGCCACTTATAGTTCTTGACTGACTCATGGATTTTGAATCGATTTGGCTGATTTGGATTGGAGCATGAAAAATTCTCATTAAAAAAAAAAAAAAACCAAACAAACAAGACAATACAGGCCATGTGTTTTATAGTCATGCTCAGTGGGGGCTGCATTTAATCAGGTTCATAGTTGGTTTCCATTAGTGAGTACATGCTGCTTTTGGCAGCAGTTTAAAGATAGACAATGTATTTAATGAGATTTCCTTGTATGCAAATATAAGATATTGGAGGTGGGCTCATCTTGTATTTGAGTGAATACGGTTTCAACATCTCATTAAATAACACATTCCCCTTTGAAGTAGTTCAAACAACAACAACAACAACAACAACAACAAACAAGCTACACATGAAGAAAATATTTTTTGAAGCCAGCATATTTTTCCTTTAAATCCTGCAACTAGCAGGAGGCTACAGAATATTAGCAAATACATGTTTGTGTTATTTTAACAGAAACATTACAACATTCCTATGAATATAGGTCAATGATTATTATGCTGGAGAAGAATTGACTCAGAACTAACAGTTTGTATTGCCAGTGCTGTGAAGTGCAAGGGAATCAGAGTCATGAATCATACAACCTATATTCATAAGATTTTTTTTCCCCCTTAAAAAAAAGTATGCTTGCTTCCTTATATTTTCCTTCTATATTATGAGCATATAGGGTTCAGTTTTTCCATTATCCTCTCTGCAACCAGGAGGACTCACCCTCTACTCCTACCTCCCTGGAGTCAGAAGCTAAACCAAGTATCACAAGACTCGCAATAAAAAAGTTACAGGAATTGGCAGGACTGTGTTACAACCTCAGAGCCATTTAGATCTCTGGTTTCAGCTAGAAGGTTCCTGTTTTATTTGGCCTCTTGAACTATTCCTCTGTAGAAGTTTAAACGCAAAGGGTGAGGGAGTTATTCTAGGCTGCACCTTTATGAAGATTAAGATTATTTTAAGCAAGATCCATGATGAAGGACTCTAACCACAGAGATGCATCCTACAGCATAATCTTCCAAACTATCCTTTGGCACCCCCCCCTTATTTGCATACAAATTGGCAGCACTGGGAGATGGGGGACTAGACAGACACTACAGAACTGTAACTGGGGTGCTGGTGCTACAGCTACAACCCCGACTATACCATCAGAAAATGATAGGTGGGGTTAGGCAGAGAGTGAGAGGCATTAAAGTGCATGCCATAGCCTTACCAAAAGCACTAAGATTCCCTTGTGAACCAAGGGCAAGTAGAAGTCTGCATTAGAGGATAACAATTCACAATTATCTACTCCAGGCCTACAAGTAACTAGAGGTAGAGCCATTAAAGAGCCTCCAGTTATCTGGACACCGATCCAGACACCAACCAGAGTCAGCCAGGAGCATAAAAAATCTTACATTCTTAAAATGTAAGGATACCCTCATTCCATACTGCGGCTTCTGTTCTAGTAGTCAAACGTTTAAATTTATATAAGGCAATGCCCATTTATTGGTTACACAGATCAGGACATGGATCAATTTGCAATTAAGACAAAGTTCAGAAATCTGACAAGCTTCTACAATTTCAGTTCTAAAGTAACACTAGTTTTCTTCCTCTACTCCAGAAGGGGATGCATGCTGTAGGGCTGAAGGGGAGGAGGTTTCCTTGATTTCTCCCCTTGTCATACATAAAACAAAAACCTTGGAGTCAAAGAACTGAGAATCAATACCTATCTATTGTAATAGTTCTCTCAGACATGTTTTCTATTTTCCTTTGAGTAACAACTTTTGAATAAGGACAGTTTATGTGGCAGGCTCGCTGCTTTTGCCTGGCAAGCCTGGGTTGGAGAAGGACATTTTGGATTGGTGGAACTTTTCCACCAATCAGGCAACAGCTGGGAGGGTCTTGCCCCACCTCTGCTTGGGGGGGGTAGAGGGGTTGCAAGGAGCCCCTGGACTTGATTGAAGTCCATTTTGTATGTCCGGTAGCCTTCGGGGCAGGGTCTCTGGTGTAAATAAAAGCCCAGAGTGCTCAGCATGCTGGGCAGACACGGTGAGAGATGGTGAGGAGACAGGAGCTCCAAAGACTATCATTGGAACCCTGCCTGAACTTCCATGGTGCACAGATCAGCGCACGGTGCTCAGGCTCTGGAAGGTGCTCGAGGCAACTTGAGCCTGCGAACTTGGCTGCTCAAGTTAACCATGGCTCTAGGCCAGATAACCAGAGCCCTGCAGTGTGGTTCAGCATTAAAGTAAAAAAGAGGCCCGGTGTCCAGAGCAGGGCCTGGGAAGTGGAAAGACCCCTGGTGTGAGGCTAGGGAACCAGAACCAGTGAGGGCTCAGCTCCCATAGAAGCTCCCTGAGTGCCCAACCCAAGGCCCAGGGCCCAGAGGGAAGAACCCTAAACTCAAAGCCAGTGGCTCCGGGAGGCCTGAGATGGTGCGGGGATCCAGAGGCTGAATCAACAGCCCCCAGAGGAAGAACCGTGAGTTACCGGGATCCCGGGTCCTTCAGGGGAGGCACCCCCAGGCAGGGGACCCTTGGGGGAGGGAGACTAGGGTGAGAACCCCCTATCTTATTTGAGGGACCAAGTGGTTGGAACCCAGATAAGCCGAGTCTAAAATCTGGTATAGTTATGTTTCCTATTCGGTATCTATTGTTATTGTTGGGGTTATAAATAGTTGGGTGTATTCATTCTGTATAATGGGCTCTGTAAGGATATCTTTATTAGCTAACCCACTTGTGGTATAAAACTGCTGGATTGACTGTCCTGGGATCCACCTGACTGTCCTCCCTAGGGCCGACTTCCTCTTGCTAACAGACCTTTATATGTATATTTGTATCTGTAATTATATCTGTCTTAAAGAGTTTTATATATAAATGCTAGTAACACAGTAAATTGTATATAGTTAAGAATTTTGGGCCTGGGCTAACTCTACAGAGGAAAGAGGGATCTGCTCGAAATTCCGGCATCCCTCTCACAGCACCCCCTCCTGCCTACCCATGCCATCCAAGTGAGAATAGGGCAAAACCTTGGGTGTACCCGAGTTACACTTAAAAAGTGGACAATAGTTCAGGTTTTGGTATTCTGGAGTCCAGAGTAGCAAGGATTTTTTTATGTCACCATACATAAAAGCCAGGCAAACCGTAGTTCATGTGACTAATCCAAAGAAAGAAATCTCAAGAAAAAAATTCCTTCATAACAAAGAATTACATAGTAGCTGCAAAGAAAATCTGAAAGGGTATATAGTTGCTGATCTACGGGTAAGGACAAATGTATATTTTAGCTGCTTTAAAAGGGGAGGTAGAGTTGTTGCTCAATGGCCCGAGCGTGTGTTACAGTCAAAATTATTCAAAACAATATAATATGTTTACATCCCCCTTTTCACCTGTAAAACCAGATATTATATATTAAACATTCTGTATTAAAATCATTGTTCCGTAGATTAGGATACCTCTCACAAATATTAGATTGGTATTAGTTTATAAAAACAACTTATAAATGGCTCAAAAGATCTTTTTTTCCAATGTGAATATGAATCAAATAAAACTCTTACCTGTAATAACTGAGCCATCAGATCCTGGACCATTTCCTAAAGACTGGAATTCTGTTACACTTAATGCTCCAGAACTGTCATCCCCTATAGATTGAGAGATGTCCTGTATGTTGTCCATGTCTTGTAGGAATTCTCCAGAAAATGGGCTTCCAAGATCATCCTCCTCTAAGGGAGTAAGAGGACAAAGCTCCCTTTCCGTGTCTACCATTTTGGTCAGGCAGAGTTGTCACTTAATCCTCATTAGACTGTTAAGAGAAATAAAAGCAGATGTATCTGGAACGCCATAAGGTATTTGAAACTATAATGGAGTCAGTAGGTGTATCTACATGTGCACTTTACTGTGGAGTACGCTAATTAGCTCTGCAGCAAAGCATCACAGTCTAAATGTGTGCTGGTATTAGGGTGCAGTAAATTAATTAACTCCACCATAAGATAGTACTGTCCCCAACTGTACTATTTTATGGCAGAGGCAGTAATTACAATGAAATATACATATAGAGGCTGACTGCAGGTGCAAATTGTGCCCAGTTAGCCCAGCAACCCAGGGTCAGATTCCCAGCTCCTGCCAGCCCCTCCTGTGCCCAACACTGCCACCCAAAGCCTGGGGCTGACCCTCCATACCTCGCCAGCCTAGAACTACTCTGCTCCAGCTCAAATTGCTGCGGTCCCAGGCACACATGTAGATGTTGCACACAGGAGCAGCTAACTCTGGTTCAAACTGCTCCAGAGTTTATTGTGTAGCCTTAATAGCATGTGTAGATGTACCCAGTTACATGCAGTATGCAAAATTCAATGAATCAAGGACCTGTACAAATACTTCTTTTTCTTCAGAAGCATTACACAGAAGAAATGCTAACAAGATGGTAAAAATCCCTATAGCTTGAACACCTGAAAAATGGTGACAGCAAGATCTGTTTCTATTCCTTCCTTACCATGCTCTTGGAATTATCAAACCACAAAGGCAGTAGATGCATTTCAGCTTGAATTATTTTGGGTAAGATACACATAGCAATAAATAAAATCTAAAATAAGTATAAATCAGATCAATTTACTTGGATATCCATGGCTATTGTCTAAGAAGCCTGAAGATGCAGACCAGATCATCTTTTCAGTGGATCTTGTGATACTGCAGAGATCAGAACTTTGCCTCCTAGTATAATCCTCAAGAAAATGAGCAAAATAACCCTTAGTGTAAACTGCTTAAATCAGATATATCAGCAGCAACCATGCTCCAATGTCTAATTTAGAACATGCATATTTTCTAAAAAGTTAGTTTTAATTTATCTACTGCATTCTAGCTTATGATTTAGGATAATGCTGTCTCTGAAAAAAACGTGCCACCAGCAGTTTGAATAAGTGCGCTGATTCTCAGGAAATTAGATAATTTTTTTCACAAATTCTAATTTTTCTTTTTTGGACCCATCACAAAAAGGAATCAAATGTCATCTAATGCATAATGTTGCAACACACACCAAACAGCTCTTCTTTAAGGCAAAATCTATGGTTATAGCTACAATCTGTTCAACAGGTGCATGAATGCACATTGATGCAGATAACAAATACACATGCACATATAATATTAGTGACAGAGTAACAATCAAAGCTAAGAGCTGATATTTGCCAATATACCATATACTTCTGACAGTTTATCGTTAAGCTTAAGATAAGAATTGTAGAAGGTGTCAGGGAGATTCTCACTAGAGCCGTTCCCCCCCGGGTTAGGGACAGAAGTTACACATAAACCAGTATAAGTGTTTGGAAAGCTGTCTGCTCCAGTCTAGCAGGGAGGAGTGCTCCAGCAACCCTCCAACTTCTGGCCTGGGCCACTGCAGGCACGTGGCTATATTTCCAGAATCAAAAGTGGATGTCTGTTCGCTTGCTTATTGGTTCAATCTATGCATCTTAGACTAACCTGTGAATCAACTCAGCCTTGGGCTTTTTGCCTGTCTGTACTTTGACCCACACAAGTCAGCAGAAATGACCCAAACTGAAGTATCAGTAGATGAGGTAGGAACTGATGACATTCACATTTCTATCTTGAAGGAGCTCAAATCTGAAATTGAGAAACTATCTACTACAGTATACAACCTAAAACTAAACACAGCCTTGGTGCTGGAGAAATAGAGGGATTGCCATTTTAACTCCAATCTTTAAAAATGACTCCAGAGGTGACCTAAAACACTACAGGCCAGTGAATCTAATTTCTGTTCCTGGCAAACTGATAAAAGCAATAATTAAAAGAAAGGCCTGATCATCATGTAAGTGCTGTAGAAAGATCAACACGGCTTTTTTAAAGGGAGGTCATGCTTCACCAACCCATTAGAGTTCTTTACATCAAGTGCCTTCTAATATATAATGCTGCAACACACACCAAAGAGCTCCTCTTTAGGGCAGAATCTACGCTCTTTGCAGGTGTTAACAAACATGTGGATCAGGGTGATCCAAATGATACAGTATATCTGGGCTTTCAAAAAAAACCCTTTGACATCAAAGACTCTTGGGATTAGAGGGGAGGATCCACCTGTTGATCAGAAACTGGCTTAAGGACATTAAAAAAAAAAAAGCAAATAAATGGTCAGTTTCCAGAACAAAAATTAAACAGTGTGGTCCCCCCCAAGATTTATGTTAAAACCAGTTCTATTTAATATATTCATAAATGAACTGAAAAGGGGGTTGGTAAATAGTGAGTTTTCCAGGTCTGCAAATGAGACAAAATTATTCAGAGTGGTAAAAGGCTAAGGTGAACTTTGAAGAACTACTAGAGAATTTTGCAAATCTGAGAGAGTCGGCAACAAAATGGCAAATGAAATTCAAATATTGGTAAGTGTAAAGTGGAAAAAATAACACAAAAAATGCAGACATGATGACCAGCTCTACCTTAATTGGTATCACATAGGAAAGAGATCTTGGAGTTGTTGCATACAGTTTGCAAAAAATATCAATTCCGTGTTTAGCTGGGGCACATGACTTATGAGAGGCTGAGGGAACTGGGCTTATTTAGTTTAGAGAAAAGAAGATTGAGAAGGGATTTAATTCAAACAGGATGGAGCTAGAC